CTTCAGCTTAGCGAGTCCGGTTAAACTATCAAGGTCAGCATCAATGTCGAAAGTCGTCAAACCCTAGGCTATTGATTTTGGGGAAGTGTATGACGCTACACTCCTATATTATTAACTACTCCTTGTTTCCATACCCATTATGATCACAACTCTTTCATTAATATTTTGTCACGTTACTCAAATCGTTATTCATAATTCCGGGTATTCAACGGTTCCCCAACCGATATCACTCCATGGTAAATACCATCTTCAAATAAGTAAAAACCCCATAAACTTCAAACTGTGTTGTTGTTTGTTATCTTTCTAAGCAATCATGTTAAAGTAATCTTTTAATCGGAATAACTTTGTCTGTTTGCATGTAATCACAACCCTACGCAGTTGAAAAGTGATGTCTTTTATACCTAAAGGAATAATTATAGATTGTTGTCTCATAGAAAGAGTTGTATCAAAGCCTTGAAGCCAACTCTACACACGGTTCCGAAGAAAAGCGTCCGTATCACTCTACCATACAGAGGGTAGTTGAATAGCATAATTTTGAGACCTAGCTTAGGATTAGCCATTAGGAAAAGCATTATGGAGCAAAGCTTTGCTACTGTGGAAAAGACAAAAGACATGTTTCACCAAAAACCTAAACACTGAACATATTATTACGTCACATCCCATGGTTTTTAACAATTTACATATATGTGTGGCCACATACATAGGGAAGAGTAATTCAGTCATGCAGTTGGAGGTACCTAAGTGGCTTCAAAAACAAGTGGAGCGCGGAACTCTGATAAGCTCTGGTGGATCAAGTTACAAACTTAGTCTTCAAACAGCTTTCAAAGTTTCATGTAGAAACAGTCAGGGACGCATACTGAGATATTCACTGAAGTGACAGCCGTATACAAATTGAAACCCCCTTTACGTGTACAAAAGCAACTTGCGCTTACACTAACCTTGTTCAACTTTTTTTCTTACCAAGATTAGTATCAATTATGTCACTCTTTCTGTTTGTTCTCATCTTTCTTAATTTAATTCCCCATTATCTTAATTGCCATAAATGTTCTTCCACTCTTCGATTATAATAAATTGATTTGACAAGTAAATGTGTGTTGCGCGAATATATCACTTTACCCAAAGAAACTTCGTCTTCTAATTTAGCTACCTAGATCCATAAAAGGGACTACCTGTTTCGAAAGAGTTGCCACTCTCCGAAGCTATGCATTTCAGGATACCTCCATAGTAGTATTTCGCTTATTGTTGCTGGGCCACTGTTGAGAGATGAGTCCCTATGCGGATGCCTGGGTTCTGCCTGAATGTTCATTAGGTTGTAATTAACTTGGTGTCTATGTTGTGATGCCCCAGTTTTGTACAAAACATTGTTATCGATCCGAACATTTTAACGTGTCATTCCTAATTCATTTTTACGGTATGACTAATAGTCTATTTCTGCCCCCATTGTAATGTAATTCGCTGGTTGGTTAACTTTTACTCTTACTATGCGAATTTCTCCAATTGCGGACTAGGTCATTTTTCATATGTATACTTATTCACGTGTTTTGGATTGATTCATTACATTATATTATATTCTCGGAGTAATACACTCTCCTATCTGCCAGCTTCAGTCCTCTCTCTATTCATCCTGGGGTTGCAGTCAGTGACTCTTGCGTACCAAGTTATCTGTCAGCTAAGCGCGCGTATTATATTTCTTTCCAGAATATATACATACACCGTTAGCACTTCGAAACCATAATAGTCTAGCAGAGGAATCCTGGACATGCTTTCCATCCCATTTAGGACTCGTCAGCCGGCTGTACCTACACCCCAGTGAGTGTTATTTCCACCGAAAACTAAATATGGTGCCCACCTCTTCATCACTTTAATATACCTATTCCTGAACTTCATTGCTAACCACAAAGTTAATTACAAATTAGCGAATATTCAGGTAGTGTCCAGGCATCTGAAGAGAAGCTCATCTATCAAAAGAAGTTGAGGAATTTGACTTGGTATAGCAGCCACAGGAGATTACAAGTGTCAGTGAACAACAAGCGGTTGCAGTCATGCGGCAATGGCCCATTGGATAATACTTTGGTGTTTGAAGCGATGGGTATGAGGTCCGAGTCCCAATGGGGACAACATCCGTTCGCTGAGGATGCAGGTACGCTCAGCTGACAAGTCGCAAGTAGGATAAAATACGCTTCCTGAACTTCGCTATCTAGTTACCAATTAGGCTACAGTATTTCATTTATACTGTTTTGATCGTTGTTCAGAGTGGTGCAGTCATCCTTCACAGTAATACACAGTATAAATGGGTTGGTGGTTTTTAGCAAATCAAAACCCAGTTTTCACGAGTGTCTAGTTTTATGATGCATTTTCCAAAGTTCCAACATGAAACCATTAGGTAACGATCAAGTCGGATATGAGGGCAGATATCCATATCTAACACTGAACGGTGGTTTCGTTTTATCCCAAGTGGGAAGAAGTAGCAAAATATAGACCACCTGATTCCAGCTTAGTGACTAAGTAGTAGCACACTCATCATGACGTCTGCCACTTCTGGACTCTATCCCTCGCATTAGTTAACAACTAGGAGGAAACAGCTATCCAGATCTTCTAGGTCCTCAATACTTCTAAAGCTAATGTCAATCTGTCATGAATACTACAACATTGAAACTTACGACACTATTATGATTTGAGTTTACATCACCATGTATTTGTGGGAAGCCGAATGGGGCCAGGAAGTCATAGAAACAATGGTCTATAACTCACTAGTCTGCATTGTGTTTTATTTTGATTTCCCTGGATTAGGATCCGAAGATGAATGTTTCTTGGTGAAAGATGACTGATGCCTACACAGAACAATTGAGTTGAAACGGTAATTTTTGGCGTAGGCATCAGTGGTTTTTCCACTAAACTTTCTTTCTTGTATACCATCAAGCAGTATGTCAGTATGTAATCAGTCAGTAATGATTGAATGAAGCTGGAGTCATTGCAGATAGTCTGATTTATCGGTTTGTTTGAAAGAATCTATTGGTTAATACATGAAAATGCTTAACTCGGTTTTATCAGCTGCAGATTGGTTTGATATAGTAACCTCATAATTACGTAATTTTGACTGGGTCAAGTAAATAAACTCGTCATATTATCCTCTTGTCACTGTTTCTACCATACATAATAGGATCTGATGAACTTAGAGTCATAGAGTTGAGGGAGGAATAAAAATTTCGTCGTAATTGGCAGTGTATTTGAGTTTACTCTATAAAAGTGGGGTGTTAGAACAAGGAAGAAAGACTTCAACAACTGGCTACCTTCCCTTTGATATGGAATCAAAGATTTTATGGCAATCAATCAATTAACCTTCCAGATAACTTGTACTAGCCAAGAGAATAAACTGAGTAGGTGACTACAGTTGAATTCAAAGTTTTACCGTTCTTTATGAATTCACTCACCGACAAATAAGAAGACTTCATCGCCATTTCTCAAATGCCTATATATATATATATATATATATATATATATATATATATATATATATATATATATATATATATTCTAAGCCAGCCTAATGGAGCTTTTTAAAGCCATCATAAGAAAACTATGCAAAGTAATCTTTGAAGCATTGATGGTAATTGTGTACAAAGAGGCTTACATGTTTATTCAGCGTAATCTTTATGCGGTAGCCATTGAGTAGTACTTAGTGAGGCGTTTGTTCTCCGACTTTCAATTGATACTGTTCTAGAGGAAACTATGGTAACTGTATGTAGCTTGTCTTGTTTTCTTGTTATTAATTAACAATATGGACGGGAATAGTTTGTTTACTTGAGGACTCTAGGTTACTTTGAAGTAAACAAGTTCTGTACACATACACGAAGTAGACTTCCCTAAGAGAGGGTAATAAGGTAGTCACATTTCACACTCAGCTTCATTGTAGAAGTATAAAATTGGTAGTGGGAGATGATTTCGCTCTCTTAAGTCCTGTTTGCTTCATGATTTATCTAGCAACTTTTCAATGAAAGCTTTTAGAATTTGAAAGAGATAGTTAGCTCTTCAGTCTATATGTATTCCAATCAACTTCTTCATTAAGAAGTACAGATTATAACATAACTTGAAGGTATATGAATGAAAATAAAGAACAACAGAAAGAAATTGCAGCGGAAAATGATAAAAAACAACTCTACCAGATATCCAACTCTTTGATGACGAAAGCATTTGTAGTTATTCAGTAGCGTTTCTTGGTGATAGCAACCGGTCACCGCTATCGACTAGACAACATAAAGTTGGTTGCCCTTCAGTGACGAATCACTGAACTTAAACCATTCCCACAGGAGGTCGATCGCAGCCCAAATAGCTCAGTGGTAACGTCGTTGGCTACAATATTGGGTGGCACATGCTCAAATGTCAGGCGAAACATCAGTTCCATCGAGGTTAAAGGTCCGATTTGCTGAAGGAAAGGTGCTAAAATGCATGAAAGCTAGGTCAAAAAGAGCACTTCTTTCCAATTACCTCCAACAAACTAACAATTTAAACTTGATCACCTTCAATAACAGTCTTACAACCAGAAGTAGAACATTATTTTTCATCCAAATCTATTGGGGAATAGAAAAAACAACAGCACTAAATTATCAGTAGACTGCATATATATGATGAAACAAATTAGTTAGAAGTTAATTTCTTTGTACACTTAATAATCAAATAAATTCACTGTATATTGAACAAATTATTGAACAATAATGTTTGAAAATATGCAGAGAATAGTATTTCAGTGTTCAGAAGTGAACTAAATGTGTTATGCAGTGATTAGATTTACGTTCCAATAGAGTCGAATAAAAGATAGACACATATCAGATTAAAGTTATTCATTAACTTTTTCAACTTATTTGAATATATGATAAGAAATACTGAAAAATATTTGTACAGGTTATTTATTCATTATAATTCTTTTTATAAATAAATCAGTAATTATATAAATTTACATGTAACACTTTCGACTGTTGTAATCATCATCAATCACAACATTGTCAGTTGTCTGAATTGAATTTTCGTTCTCTAGATACTTTACATTCTGATAAATGATTTTCATAATGATTATAACAATGATTATGAATTGAATTTCCTGAAACATAAGAACTAATTCCATTACATGATTGTTTATACTGTTCATGGAATTGTTTATCTTTATACTGATATCGAGCATGTTGATGAGTATGATACAAATGTTTTGAATATGGTAATTGATTAGTTAATGAATGATAATTTTCGTCATTAAATATCTTCTGATATTTATCATTAAAATGTATGGAATAAGAATCTGTTAGGAATGAATTTTCATTGATATTATATTTATTGTTTAATTGATTAATTATATTGGATTCAGGAGATAAGTGCAGATCATTTCGAGATGGATAATTACTATCTGTTGTTATTGTTGTTGTAGTCGCTGTGGTTGATGTTGTTATTTCAGCTTCGCTTCGCATCAAACTACATTCATTGTTCAATTTATTCGAATATAATTGAGTATTATATTTTTCAATGACTTCTTTATTACTTATACATCTACAGGTAGTGTAGGCAAGATTTTCACAATTACGACTAATCCATAATGATGGATCATGTTCTGGTAAATGAACACTATTCATTGAATGATGACATGAAGTTGAATATCCTGATCTATTGAGTACATTTTGCATATTTATTGTCTCTGAGTTTGTAGATAAATATGAATTTTCTGTATGTTTTTGTCGTTTAAATTTCATACGACGATTTTGAAACCAAACCTAGAAAATAGGTCGCAAGTATAACCATGTTTACTACTTATCAAAGTCTAGCCACCTGTTGTATAATAATTATGTTTTGAGTAAAAATATACCTATTTCACGAACAACTACATGCAATAATTAAGAGTTTTATGGATTTCTTTACATAACAGACGTTAAAACTTGGTCTTGGTTGTATTGTGTTCTTTGAGCTGGGTTGTTTAATCATGAAGTTTTCATCGTCTTTCTAGACGACATCATTAGCACTAACTTCAGTATGAAGTAAAACGTGTTTTACAGTCTCCTTCAGGAGTTAACCTATCTACTACTAGTTGTAAACTACTCTATGAAGAGATTATTACCATAACTAATGTTTTTATTTTATGAAAACAATTTCATAACTTGAATCTTGTCAGAGAGTAGCAGCATTAGTGTTATGCTTCAGACACCAAGACAAGTTTCTATGGAAGATGATCATTAAAAAACTGACCAGGTATTTTCACCAACGAAGCTTCTAGCTAACCATGAGTAACAACAGACATGACAGCAAGAGATATAATTTGATCATAAAAAATCCCGATAATCATGATCGCCTTATTCCAAACACCATGTTTCATACAGTATGGAATTCTCAAGATGTAATATTTCAACAAATTTACTCCTTGTTCTGTATTTGTACAAGAAATAATTATTGCATCTGAATTATGTTAATAATAATTATTATAAAGGTTAATTTATACTGGGTGATGATTGAAGGCGAGATGAAAACCAGGACTGCGGCCGGATTCCAACCAGCGAGCACCGATTTACCTGCCTGATGCTCTACTAACTGAGCTATGGGGTCCGACTGCTAACCAAAATTTTATTACACTTCAATCACCAAGAGTTTTGCCCGACTACCATGTGATTTCGTGACGCGTTACTACCGCCTAATCGTAGTCATGAATACAATAAAGTTAAATAAAAATATGTTCATCAGTTGCACATTGTAACTCAGTTAGTAGAGCACCGGATCGGTAACTCAGTCTGTCCGTGGTTCAGATTTTCACTTCACCTTTAATCATCACCCAGTATAAATACTAGTCTGCTAAACTACAGCTATCTCAGATAGTCAAATGATAATTATAAAAGTAATAATGCTACACTACCAGCTGATATTAGATTAGTATGCGGTCTAGAATGGAGAATTTAATGGGAAAGTGAGCATAAGTTTGATAGTGATAGTTCATTTAGCCAATACAAGAAACTGCAATTTGAACTATACATCTTAAGAATGATAATATTAAGTACTTTTATCATTTAAAAGTACATTCCTATCCAGCTTAATGTTTGTTTTTTCTTCAATTTACTGTTAACTAAAGAAAATGCTGATTGAAAACGTTTTTTTTTTAAATGCGTGATTATACATGATACGTTTCAAAGGTAAGTTGAAAAGATGAAAATTAAATGAAAAGGGAACAATTTGATGAAATATATTAGGTGATAACATTTTCGTAGCTTAGTGTTTAAACAGACCACCTATGCAAGGATCTACAAAACTCAATCTTAATAATAATAATAATAATAATAATAATAATAATAATAATAAATCTGGATTATTCTGAGCTACAGTTTTGTTTACAATATAGAATTCTTAGCATATGATATTGCATCAGTTTACATGTTGTATAATATTTTTCAAATATACATTTCAACAATGGCGCTGTTTAATAATACATAATAAGGAATAACATGACTAATTATGATAACTTAGTTGGTTGTGGCTAGAAGAAGAATCCAGCACGCGCGTTTCATCCTATCTGGGACTCGTCAGCTGGATGTACCTGCACCCCAGTGATATTGTTCCCACTGAGACTCAAACCTCGTACGCATCGTTTTAAACTCCAAGGCGTTATCCACTATGCCATAGAGGAACGATAGCCAATTCTTGTACAACGGGTAATAGTTGTCACTATTTATTGACATACTTGTTATTCTCCGTTGTTTTGTTGGATCGAATTGTTCGACCTCTATTGGCATATGGGCTCCTATACGGATATCTTGATATTGCCTGAGTTTCAATAGGAACAACATCACTGTGGTGCAGGTACATCCAGCTGACGAGTCCTAAATAGGACGAAAAGCGCGCCCTGGATACTTCTTCTAGCCACAACCAACCAAATTATCATAATTAACATTCAGGCAATATCAAGGCATCCGTATAGGAGCCCATATGCCAATAGAGGTCGAACAATTCGATCCAACAAAACAACGGAGAATAACAAGTATGTCAATAAATAGGAATAACATAACTGTTGAAATGTTTAACGACTTCAGGATCATAATGACGGTTCCAAAGTTAACTGATAAGACTACGCTTAATATGACTTTCTTAATACACAAGCTGAATAAGATGATATAGTTGAAATTTTTTATGTAGTTGTGCGTGCAGAGAGTTTAGTATATTTATATGCTTCTTATCTTCCCAAAGGACATAAATAGAGAGAGATGTGGATGTAATATATCCTTATCATCAGATAAAATATTTTTAGCTAGAAGTCCACAAGAGATCAGATGTCTATCCGTAACCGCGTTTACCAGTGTTGTTGTATCATTCTGTCTACTAACAGCCTTAAAAATCCTTCGCAATACAATATAGTCATTTTCACGGAATCCAGGGAAGAACAAATTGGACCAATAAATATACGCAAGGTACAGGAATTAACGAAGCGTAAGAGTAGAGGTTGAGTTTCGCAAGACAATCTGCGTTTCCCTATATAAAAGGTTAAGCAAAGGATTTTCCTGGAAATTAATAAGGTGTGAGGGGACCAAGAAAGATCAGAAGAAAAACTTAAGCCGAGATGCATCACACTTTATACACTCTTTACAATGGGACCATCTAGAAGACAAGAGTCATGGAACTGAAGCAATTTACGTAGGTTTTATTCACATCTTAAGCTAAAATTAACCACCTAACAATTGAAGAGATTGAGTGTGAAGTCATTCAAGGAAGACCAGTGACCATTTTCAGTTAGGGAGTTATTAAACTGAGAACAATTTGAAGTGAAGATGACCAGCATAAGTACTGTTAGGCCATCTACTTACTTAACAAAATTAGTTTCACTCGAGGTGAGTGGGTCATGCAAAAAGAAGGAGAAAGAACAACAAGTTGAGGTGCATTGGCTTCGTTAATTAACAAAGTGCAGAGCTTCTCTCTGCATAGAGTGTATTGTCTACTCTCAGAGAAATAAGAATCAAGTCAGTCTATAATCCACAACTCAATGTGAGTTCTGGCAAGCTTGTCAAATAAAAGTGGTCTATGGATAGAATCAAAGGCAGAAGTAAAATCTAAGATGGCGGATCTAACGCATTTAGTACCTTTTTCCAGTCTAAACTGGCTATGATACTATGATGTTAAACAACTGGAGCATCTGGGTTTGTAGGCAAGGTGATGGATCATTTTCACAATGGAAGGATAAGAAGAGTAAAGTAGGATGACGACGGCCTGTAGAACTGCAACAACTTATGATCTTTCCACATTAGCTTTATTTATTTGATATAGAATACACAGTGATGCAGTATTGCTTACTTGATCACTTTTCCGGAATAAATAATCGCTCATAATCATATGAAATTAACCACACAGCTTTCAACATCTGATCTCTACAGTCCTACCATCTTATATTCTTTGTTTTTAGGGATAGTAAAAATTTACACATCACCGATACAGCTGTTTCATCATTCCTACCATGTGTTGGGTGTTAATTCGATAAATAAAGACTCAGTAATCAATCTCTCTCTCCACCTAACTAATTTTTATGGACCTAAGTACAATGGTCCTACCCCACTCTGTTCTGTGTTAGTGCACGCATTGCAATGATCATGGTTTTCTTCTAGGTCATAGGTCCTGTTGAGGTTTGTCATTCTACATTTGGCTAAAATATTATTCTCTGGTAATCTAGCTGACCCCGATTGGATAGTTTGACCTATGTACTTGACCTCACAGTCTAAAGTGATGTTTATTTTAGTTTAGTGGTTTGTAGGAATCGATTGTTTGACTTTTAGCTGGTACTTACCATGGACTGAAATCAGTAAAAGGACCATTGGGAACCAAGGGGCACTGGACAACTGTTTCGCCCTAGTATGGGATGCCTTAGCGGTGTGGATCCATAACCCCCCCCCAGGAATCGAGCCCAGGGTATCGTGAAATGGGAGGTGTAGGAAGTGGAGATCATTGGGTCACGACCAAGTGGATCGGTGTTAACGTGTTGGCTGTGGAACCTGAAAGTTATATGTTCAATATCTGGTGGTGCTGGGTCATAAATGTGCACTGTTGAGGAGTCTCATACTAGAACAAAACAGCTCTTTAGTGCTTCAAGGTTTCCAATGGTTCTCTAACTAATTTCCTATATTTATCAAATGTAATTAAGATATCGAAACCTGTAATTTGGGAACGAAATATATTCCTCTACAGTGAAAAACCTACGTATCACCACTTAATGAAGTGACTGTGCCGTTAACAATGAAAGTGCTTAGCTGACCACAAAAGTTGATTGTCAGAAATAAAAATGTAATCAGAATAGAAATAATGTGATGTTTTAAAGAAAAGTAGGACTAGCTTTTAACCAAACAAAATATCAAAGATAAGGAAACATTGTCATCTATTTAAACAGCTTGACGTTTACCCTCATTTAAAATAAGACAGTAGACTTTCGAGCTTTTCATCTCTGTGTAATGCAGTTACGTCAGCTTGAACAAGCTGGTTGTTGACGAAATCTCAATTCCGATACTGAAGGCCAGTTTGGCATCTACCAACTTGCTCCATAACTCATGCCTACTAGTGAGGCATCCAAATATTTATTAGAGGATGAGTATACTGCACTGCAGTTTGTCCTGTTGTCTTATGCGATTGTGAGACATGGTGATTAAAAGTGGTAGATATGAAGAGACTACAGGTTTTTGACCATAGGTGACTTTATAGCATTGTTCATGTATAGTGAAATTACTATGTGTGCAATGTTGAGGTCTGGCGAAGAGTACTA